CGCCTGCTTCACCTCACCTCACTACAGTATTTAAGCCATGTCTACGGCCCTATGCTGTACATTCTACAAGATTGATGGACTGAACACATCGACTCCAGGCTGAGGGACTGATTACCTCATACTCCTCCTCTCCTTACACCTTCCTCTTTGTATTGGACTGATGAAGCCACTGTGTGGCGAAACGTTTCCTGAATAAAGATTCCCATATGCTGCATAAGTGTCTCAATCGATTACTGTTTGGACCGGAGCCCCACACGTCACCTTTCGGGGGGGGGGGAAGGGACAGCGGGAGCTAGACTGACCCTACCTTAACAAGCAGCCGGCAGTCAAACTATCACTTTCGGGGTGGGGGAAAAAAAGGCGGGAATAGCGAGGAGCTTGACTTACACTACCTTAACAAGTAGCCGGCAATGAAACTATCACTTTCGGGGATGGGAAAAAAAGGCGGGAATAGCGGGAGCTTGACTTACCCTACCTTAACAAGTAGCCGGCAATGAAACTATTGTTACTATATACTCCCTCGCTACTCCTATCTATTGAACTTTTCCCTCTCACTCCCCCATACCAAGACTTATAGTCAAGGAGTATAAGAAGAATAGGCGAGGAAAAAGTTCTAACATATGGAAGTCGCGTAAGGCAAGAAATCTTCTACTGACTGTCACGACTTAACCAGCCAGAGAAATAATTCGATGAACCACTGATATACACAATATGGAACTTAAAAGCCTGGAGTGCCAATGTCCACCTCAAGAGGCGACTGTTGGTTCCCTCAAAAGTTTCTAGGTATATCAAGGGTTTGTTGTCCGTTTCTAAAATGTATTCTTTTCCCAGCAAGCATGCTGGGAGTGTAGCAGGCATGCTGGGAGTGTAGCAGATATGCAGGGAGTGAAGCAAGCATGCAGGGAGTGTAGCAAGCATGCAGGGAGTGTAGCAGGCATGCTGGGAGTGTAGCAGATATGCAGGGAGTGTGGCAGGCATGCAAGGAGTGTAGCAAGCATGCAGGGAATGTAGCAGGCATGCTGGGAGTGTAGCAGACATGCAGGGAGTGTAGCAGACATGCAGGGAGTGTAGCAGACATGCAGGGAGTGAAGCAAGCATGCAGGGAGTGTAGCAAGCATGCAGGGAGTGTAGCAGGCATGCAGGGAGTGTAGCAGGCATGCAGGGAGTGTAGCAGGCATGCAGGGAGTGTAGCAGGCATGCAGGGAGTGTAGCAGGCATGCAGGGTGTAGCAGGCATGCAGGGAGTGTAGCAGGCATGCAGAGAGTGTAGCAGGCATGCAGGGAGTGTAGCAGGCATGCAGGAAGTGTAGCAGGTATGCTGGGAGTGTAGTAGGCATGCTGGGAGTGCAGCAGGCATGCTGAGAGTGTAGCATACATGCAGGGAGTATAGCAGACATGCAGGGAGTGTAGCATACATGCAGGGAGTATAGCAGACATGCAGGGAGTGTAGCAGGCATGCAGGGAGTGTAGGAGGCAAACTGAGAGTGTAGGAGGCATACTGAGAGTGTAGCAGACATGCAGGGAGTGTAGCAGGCATGCTGCTAGTGTAGTAGACATGCAGGGAGTGTAGCAGGCATGCTGGGAGTGTAGTAGGCATGCTGGGAGTGCAGCAGGCATGCAGGGAGTGTAGCAAGCATGCAGGGAGTGTAGCAGGCATGCAGGGAGTGTAGCAGGCATGCTGAGAGTGTAGCATACATGCAGGGAGTATAGCAGACATGCAGGGAGTGTAGCATACATGCAGGGAGTATAGCAGACATGCAGGGAGTGTAGCAGGCATGCAGGGAGTGTAGCAGGCATGCAGGGAGTGCAGGAGGCATGCTGCTAGTGTAGTAGACATGCAGGGAGTGTAGCAGACATGCAGGGAGTGTAGCAGACATGCAAGGAGTGTAGTAGACATGCAGGGAGTGTAGCATGCATGCTAGGAGTGTAGCAAACATGCATGGAGTGTAGCAAACATGCATGAAGTGTAGCAAACATGCTGGGAGTGTAGTAGGCATGCTGGGAGTGTAGCAGACATGCAGGGAGTGTAGCAGATATGCAGGGAGTGTAGCAGGCATGCTGGGAGTGTAGCAGGCATGCTGGGAGTGTAGCAAGCATGTAGGAGGCGAGAGGAAGGCGAGTTTATTATGCTTCAATATGACGCTAATATCTCTACGGCTTATTTATCTATCACAAATCATTTAATACGACATAATAAACAATATTAATAACATAGAAACATGATATATATACTCTAGAATGAGTAAAATATGTAATAATGTATGTGAGGATAAGTGTTGAAATTGCTGATGGGTTTATCTCTCCATCCAAAACATGTCTTGTGTGCATTTCTGTAAATGCACCAAACATGGCATTCACTTCTGACAGAAACCCACTGACATAACTAACTTTCTCGTTTCTATTTGATTTCAAACCCTAAATATTTTCAAATATGAAGCAGGAATTACCATTTGGGATGTTTTGTTTTGCTCTGTGTTTTGTCAGTACCAGTGGTGATGTACTACCTGGTATGGCCCCCTGGTGTACATACCCCTGCTTTCTCCAGTACTGACTTTGCATTTGATTGTGTATTTGGCCCTGATGGGCTGATGCCTGGCTTGGTATGTCCCATTGTGCTGCCCATCTATCCCATCTGTAGCATTTCCTCTTTTTGTCTCTTTCTTTGGTCTGATCATTTCTCTATGTCTAAAAAAGATTGTTGTTAATTTTCCCTTTCTCTGCTGTCTCTATAGTGCTGCATTCCTTTTACATAATGGGCTCTGCAGTTCAGGTCACAACATTTACTGAACTATGTTATAGCTTTGCACATCACTGGGTGGAAGTACCTGCACTCTTTGTCAAAGCAACACTTTCCCTTTCTTAACATGTTCACACATTTTATGTTGTGCTTATTCCAGCAAGCTCTGCCATACTGGCACATACCTTCTGCAAAGTATCTGCAAATGATCTGCCTATATTTACTGATTTTGTGTCTTTACCAAGTTCTGCCACCTGATTTGAATTCTCGTTTTCTTTCATCTAGACGTATTTCTTCCCTTTTTTCATTTTCGTTTGTTCCTGCTCTAGCTTTCTCTTCCTCCCTTTCCATTTTTTCTATGTTGTGTACATATGTTTTGTTCTTTTCTGACTTGCTCTCAATGATGTTCTCCACTCTTATTTTGATCCCTTGGTTTTTAACCTTTATTTTTGCTTTCCTCCTTTTCTTCTTCCTTACCCCTTGTTTTCCACTCTTTGTATGTATCTAGCAAGCTTCTTAGGAACTTTCTTACACCTTCTAGGTTTTCAATTTTCAGTACTTCTCTTATGCCCGACCAGCTTTCTATCTCGCTGGAACAAATTCAGAAATGTCTTTCTTGTTTTAGGTCATTTATCATGGTTGAATTAAGATTTGTACACGATATATGGGATGTTTTTCCACATATTTCACAATCAATGCCCCTAATATTTCTCCCAAATGTTTTTTCACAGATCTTATTTTTTGCCATGTTCACTTCCATTTATCTTTTCCTGGGCAGTTTTATGTGGTGGGTGGTGGGTTGTTTTGGGTGGTGGGCTGGGGTTGTAGATGCTGGGAGGTGGGGATCCATGGAAAGAGGGTAGGAGTGCAAGTGGGGAGGGGACCCTTCCCTCTGGTTGGGGGTGGTCAGTGGAGTGAGGTTTGGGGTGAGTGTGGGGATGCCCTTCCCACTGGGTGGGGGGGAAATGGTGGTAAGAAGTTACGGGAGGGACACTCACATGGTAAGTAAGGTCATTTGGCTTATTCCTTTTCCTTTACCTTATGTTCACTTAGTTATTAGCCATCATTTAAGATTGCTATATCCCTGCACATCAATACCCCTATCACTTGTTTTATTACTTATGGCAATAGTTGTTTATTTCCACTTCTCTATCGACATCTGGCAATAATTCGCTAGTGCCACTTGACCGTAATTTATTCCCATATATTACACCATATATTGTACATTATGCACAGGAGAATAATTAAGATTACTCTTACCCACAATTTCAGTTCACTTTCTCACAGCACATTTGTATCCTTATCCATCACTATATTACTTATACAATAGTTCAATATTCATCTGTTTGTTTATTTCCACTTTTCTGTCGACATCTGGCAATAATTTGCTAGTGCTGTTCGACCATATATACATTCCATATATTATACACTATGCACTGGGAATTTGCAAGATTATTGTAATCCACAATTTAAGATCACTATATCACTGAACATCAGTACCCTCATCACTTGCTATATTACGTATGACGATATGAGTAACAATCCTTCAGTACACAATAACACGACCCACTGTGTGGAAACACCTTTAGGCCTATTTCCCACCCGTTCCCCTTCTACCCTTATTTCTAATAATTTTATCTTATTTTTCCAGCAGTTTTAACACGTCTTTTTATTTTTATTTTTGGCTCTTGGAATTTGTGCTAGTCCCTGATCTTTCTTATTTCCCCTCACTGATCTACATTCGCTGCTAGTCACAAACCATTTCCTGTAATGACACCATACAGTAACAGCCACAGAACTTCACTTAAATGCCCAGCAGCTACGTGTAACTAAGACTACGCGAGTCAGTGACAATGTTAACAATTCATTAACGGAATCTTCCACTCGAGAAATGAACTTATACAGTATCCTACTCAATCATGCTTGGTCAAGCAAGCTTTTTTATGAGGCTGTTAAATGGTGACTGCTTATATTCAGCTATTTACAGTACTATTTAGGATTAAACTCTCCCTCCTAAAAAATAATTTATCCTTTCTCTGAGTGTCATTCCACCTATGATTAAAATATATAAGGTTATGTAAGGTCCTAAACTATATATGCATAAGTAAATGCCTGAAAAAAGAATTAAGATATATTACATGCAATAACAGATAAGAAAGCTTTGTGTTTTTTTTTTTACCCTACGCTAAGCAAACTTTTCAAGAGGGCAATCTTATTTGCCAAGAAGTTATTAAGAGCAAACTAAAAAAATTAAGACTACATACCTCAGCCTGCGACGTGGGAGACTCTTGCAGAAGGCCTTCATTTTCTTTTTTATTTTCTGTTGTTTGAGTACTTTTATTTCCATTTTGTTGGTCATCATCACTAATTTCTGTGCTTTCAATACGATTATCATCTGCTTGGCATGATTTCTGATTTATCTCAGATTCAGCAGTAGCCTCTGTCTTGTCGTGCTGGTCATCGTCTCCATAATCCAGAGAGTTCGGAGAAGATAAATCGACACTTTGTGACTCTTCCCAACTAGTGTCATCCTGTTTACGTCTCTTTGAACGAGGACTATTACTACCATCCATCATGCTGCGCCCTTTTTTTATATTAAATGGAAGCTCATCAGGCACAGCTAACCCTTTAATTTGTAGAAGCTCTGCAGCCTTGATCAGTTGTGCTAAATCAGATTGATCCACACTTACTATGCCAGCATACATATAACTTAAAAGAGCTTCCATATCTTTACATTGGATATCCTTAAGGACTATAATGGGATGTTTGCATGGAGTATACTCAAACATTTTCAAGAAATAATCACTACAAGTTGATAGTACTAGCTTGTGTACTGGATAGAATTTGCCCTCACATGCTACAGTCACATCAGTGTATCTCTCCTAAAAGAAGAAAAATTAAGATAATTTCCAGAACAAGACTGTATATACTGATACAGTACAATGATTTCTTTCATAAACTAATTTGTGCTAAAGATGTCCAAATTAAAGACAATTTTGAAAAATTAAAAATAGAAATTTCTCAGATTCAAAAAAAAATCTGAATTAGTTTTAAATTTGAATTAAGAGTTCATAATTTTTGCTCTTATTCAGGAAATCTATTACACACTTATCTGAGAATATTTAGAATATGGCAATATTGGCATATTCAATACAGAAAAGTCAAAGATTTTTTTTTTTTTTTTTTTAATTTTTGGAAACCATTCTGAATTTGATATTATAGTTTTTCAATTTAGAAAACATGAAATACACTATCATAAAAGAAAGAACTTGATACACTGGTCATTTCCTACCAAGGTAAGATGATTTAAAAGTATTTGTAAGAGAAATTACTGTACTGTTAAGGAACAAAAGCATTATAATTATTAATGTAATTAGTAATATAATGAATAGGTATTTATATGTTATTACTAGTGTGTACTGATGTATACCTGGAAAAGAATTATATAAATTTTATATAGTTCTGACGAAACTTTGCTATTACTATTAAAATTGTAATTCACTTACTTTCCCCACTGGCTTTGACACTTCCCTGTACACTAGTATATAGTAAAGAAATTTGGTTGATAAAACCCACATAGATTACAGTACAGTTCTATTTTTTATAGTTCGAACTCCAAAGTCACAAAATTCAACTATAATATCCTACATTTTTGCCTGTGATTTTACTGAAGTGCCTATTTTATTTTATTATCACACTGGCCGATTCCCACCAAGGCAGGGTGGCCCGAAAAAGAAAAACTATCACCATCATTCACTCCATCACTGTCTTGCCAGAAGGGTCCTTTACACTACAGTTTTTAAACTGCAACATGAACACCTCTCCTTCAGAGTGCAGGCACTGTACTTCCCATCTTCAGGACTCAAGTCCAGCCTATTTTATTTTTAGTTTTGAAAATCAGCCACAGGGTTTTGTTCAAAATGTGTTCATTGGATTTCCTATGCCAAATCTTTCTTCTTTGCAGTTACAGTGGAACTTCGTTTTTCGTATGCCCTAGTTTGTATGTAAAACTATAGTTATTCTCTATAAAATGTATTTTTTGTTAATATTTATGGGTGTCTGGAATGGATTAACTAGATTTACATTATTTCTCATGGGAAATATTGCTTTAGTTTTCGTATGATTCGGTTTATCGTCAGACTTTTCGAATGGATTAATAACAAAAACCACTGTGTAATGTTTTATGAAAAGTCAATATTAAAGAGGTAAGGTTAGTGCAACACAGCCTCTCCTCACTTACCAATGGAGTTCCGCTCCGAAGACCCCTATCGGTAAATGAATGTCGGTAATCGAGGAATCACCCCTTACTGACACTTCGTAAGTGTCACCACCCAAAAGTATAACATTCAGTTTGATGTTTTCTGAGAAATTCCTTCCAGTCTGTTTATTATTAATGGTAATAAAACAGAAATAGGTCAATGACTTATTTCAAACGTATTCGGAAACGCGTGCATAGCTGATTACTTGGGATTTTTTTGTTTTTTTTGAGAAAATCGCACTTTTTTCAGTCTTTGCATAGGATAAAAATGATCTTCTATAGTCACCCTTCAGGCACGAAACGTTTTCTATAATGGTCGCGGTCACTTTTTTTTTATCCCTCCCCATCCTCCACCCTTCAACACCTCTCTATATAATGTCAGTTTTTATTAATTTGGGTGTCTATCATGCTTCTACATTATTTGTTATACCTAATAATATTCTGGAATAAATATGATAGGCAGATAACCTTTATTGATAGTAATAGTATAATTATACAATATTTTATAGTACCATGAGCTCACACCTCCACACGCCATGGCGAACCATTAGCTACTGAGAGACACTGCTCGCACCTTCTCCCTCTCTTGTATAGCTTCGCACACCCTCCAATACCTCTTCATTCATATATGTCAGTTTTTATTAATTTGGGAGTCCATCATGTTTCTACGTTATTTATTCAAACTTTAAAATCTGAATAAAGAAAGAAAAGGACTAAGGGAAACTCCAACTTGATAACTTTGTTTTAATTTGATTCTGCACTTGCTGCCTCACCACTGATACTCCTATTATGTAAGTTGAATCTCCGATGAAACCGTTGAAACCATCCATAGCTTGCCGTAAATGTTTGTGTTGATTCCTCACCTTCACATGCCTTCAAAGTCTCAAAGATACTGCGTGCCTTGGCTTGAACCATTAAAAGGCTCATTGGCATTCTTTACTGTATCTGATAGTCAAACCAGATTGCCAGTACAGTGGACCCTCATTTTTCGTAAGCATTGGAATTCGTAATTTTCGCAAATCGTAACGTTTTTCGTCAAAATACAGTGGACCCCCGCATACCGTTGGCATCACATAACGATTAATCCGCATACCGCTTGCTTTAATCGCAAAAATTTTGCCTCGCATACCGCTTAAAAACCCGCTCACCGCTGTTCGTCCGAGACGCGTCCAATGTGCGCCCTCAGCCAGCCTCACATGTGCCGCCCGTGCCATTGTTTACCAGCCAGCCTCCGCGGTAACATCCAAGCATACAATCGGAATATTTCGTATTATTACAGTGTTTTCGGTGCTTTATCTGGAAAATAAGTGACCATGGGCCCCAAGAAAGCTTCTATTCCAACCCTAAAAGCAATAAGGGTGAGAATTCCAAAAGAGATGAAGAAAGAGATCATTGGGTAAGTATGAAAGGGAGTGCGTATCGCCGACCTGGCCAGGTTGTACAAGAAAACCCCCAAACAACCATTGCTACTATTGTGGGCACCAGAAAGGCAATCAAGGAAGGGTTTCTTGCCAAAGGTTTACTGTGTTTTCGAAACAAAGATCGCAAGTGATGGAAGTTGTTGAGAGACTCTTATTAGTGTGATAAAAAGAAAAACAGCTAGCAGGAGATAGCGTTTTCTCAAGCGATCATAAGCGAAAAGGCTAGGAAGTTGCATGAGGATTTAATTAAAAAAATGCCTGCAACTAGTGCTGATGTGAGTGAATTTAAGGCCAGCAAAGGTTTGGTTTGAGAGATTTAAGAAGCGTATGGATACTTTGTGTATAAAGGTGGTGAGGCTGCCAGTTGGACCCCAAAGCAGCTGGGAAAAAAATTTTTGCAGAATTTTAAGAGTACCTAGACAGTGAAGGGCTGAAAACCCGAACAAGTGTTTTTTTAAATTTTGATTTAAACACCTGTTTTGGAAGAAAATGCAAGCCCGGGCCTACATTACTCGGAGGAAAAGGGGCCCCCCCAGGCAAAGTCAAAGAAAAGGGAAAGGGTTACTTTGTTGATGTTGGGTTCCCCAAAGGGTACTGGGATTGCAAAAATGAAGCCTTTATTTGTGTATCAAATTGAAACCCCAGACCCTTTAAAGGGAAAAAAATTTTCCTCAAGGAGAAAATTTTTGTTTCTGTGAGGGGGAAAAAAGTAAAAGGCCCTGGGTCCCTAGGGGGCTTTTTTTTTGACTGGTTACCCATGGGGAATTTTCCCCCCGGGGAAAGATTACTAACGAAAAGAAATTAGAACTTAAGTGCCCCGGTTTTGACAATGCCCCCCGGGCTTCCTACAGACGTGGGAAGGCGACTTTTTTGGGGAAATGAAAATTCCCTTAAGGTGGAAAATTTTTGCCACCAATAAAACCCCTCCTCCCCCTGCAGCCCAAAGGAACCCGCAGGTTTTTCAAAATTCAAAAAAAACGTACACAAAAGCTCTGTTTGAAAGGTGCTTTGTAGTGACCGAAAAATCAACTGACTCTAAGAAGTTTTTTAGAGAGCACTTTAAAAAATCCTCAAATTTTGAAATCCCCTTTAGGGAAAAGGGTTGGGAGGGGGGTGGGCTAAGAAAACCTTTAACCCTGCTTGGAAGAAACTGTGGCCAGAATGTGTAGACAAAAGGGATTTTGAAGGGTTTGAGGCTAACCCTGAGAGGTTTATGCCAGTTGAGGAATCCATTGTGGCTTTGGGAAAGTCCTTGGGGTTGGAGGTTTATTTGGGGGGGAAATGGGAAGAGTTGGTGGAGGTGGACAATGAAGAACTAACCACTGATGAGCTGACAGACAACTTCAACAGCAAGAGGCCAGACCTGAGGGAACTGGTTCAGAGGAGGGAGAGGAAATTGAAGAAGTTGCCTACTACAAAGATTAAGGAAATCTGTGCAAAGTGGCTTCAAGTGCAAACCTTCATAGATGAAAATCACCCTCACACAGCAAATTGCAAGCCGTGTTGGCAACCTGTACACTGACAATGTTGTGAAACACTTTAGGGAAGTCATAAAGGAACGAGAGGTACAGGCCACTATGGACAGATATGTTTGTGCGAAAGAAGTCCAGTGACTCTGAAGCTGGTCCTAGTGGCATTAAAAGAAGAAGGGAAGTAACCCAGAAAAGGACTCGACACCTCAAGTCTTAATGGAAGGGGATTCCCCTTCTAAACACTAACACTCTCTCTCCCCTCCTCCCATCCCATCAATCATCACCAGATCTTCAATAAAAGTAAGTGTCATGTAATTGTGCATGCCTTTTTCAGTTTGTGTGTATTAAAATTAACATTTCATGTGGTAAAAAAAATTTTTTTTCATACTTTTAGATGTCTTGCACGGATTAATTTGATTTCCATTATTTCTTACGGGAAAATTCATTCGCATACCGATCATTTCGCATAACAATGAGCCCTCTTGCACGGATTAAAATCGCTATGCGGGGGTCCACTGTACTGACTCGCGAATCGTCGTTTGACTCACAAATAGTCACTGGTCCAGAACGTGTACAAGTGGCCCAAGCAGCCCCACACACCATTCACAGTCAGTGTGCCATTGTTTAACAGCGAGAGAGCACGATCCCACGTATTCATACGACACATGTCATAATATTCCATTCGTTTTAGTACAGTGGACCCCCGACATTCGATGCATTTTAACGCAAAA